AGTGAACGTAGTTTATGCGTTCACTTCTATAGTTGGTAGATATCTATACTTCTATACTAATATAATAAAGCGTAAACACACATTACTTTGTAGCGTAGGATGTCAGCAATCACAGCATATTTTTGAATAACTCCTTTTTTAATGAAAAGCCGTAGGGCTTTTCATTAAAAAAGGAGTTGTCGTAAGTGTAGACTTACGACAAGCTTTAGGCTATAAATTTTCACGCTATTAAACTTTGGGGGTCAATATGGTAAATTATAAAAAACATTCATGCGGGAAAGCGACCATAAACTACAAGCTGCCAACATTAAGGAAGCACTATTATTATGGTGACGATAATTTTGACATTTGCAATTGAGAATTTGACAAATGTTAACAATAAAGGTTTTTTATAAAGCCGCACGGGAACAACTAGTAACGTATAAATATGGTTTAATTAAACAATAAGGCTAAGTTGAACGAAAAGATAGTCATTCTAAATGTGTTAGACATCGGTCTCAGTTAAATACAACAATGAACTTTGGGTATTTCTTTTAAATACATTATATCGCTACTTTTAGCACAAGATTGACCTTGCTCGGGGTTGTTATTACAGCTTGAATCGATATTTGTACATTAATTATGTAAGAATACGACGAAGTTTCAATGTCATTCATTTTTTAATAATATGGTAAAGGTTAAAAACATACATGAATAAATGTATAATTGCATTTTCATAGAAAGTAATAAGAAGTATAAGAATTCGCTTATCGTTATCGCTGGTTACAGGCTTGTTATTTTTCTTTAATTTGTTATGGATAAACAGTAAATAAAACTACAAACAGATTTAAAGGCATATGTTTTATTAAAACAAACGAACATTTGGACATGTTTATCTGAATGAAAATATCTGCAAGTACAAATGCATGTGTGTCATGGCTTCGTGTCAATGACAAACAGTTTTCAAAAGAAAAAGATTCTTTGTAATCGACGTCTGGTTGCTTGAACTTGAGATAAAATAAGATAATGCATTTCGATAACATTGTTATTGTTATATACATGTATACAGAAGATATGCACTGGTGTTTCTCTCTTGAAGAATAATAATTGTATGAATTTAAACTTTTCATTCTATTGTCACAACCAGCGGGTACTGGGCCACCATTTTCCTTGCATGTCTCGTGTCTATCACCATTCCTCTGCTTATTAAAACTTAAAAATTTACTTCTTTTCTTGCCGATGTTAATATTTTGCATTACGGTAAGTTTATATTGCGGATACATATCGTAGGTTACACTCGGTGTCAAAGATTGGAGGCGGGGTGAATGGAAAACGATCGATTGCGAAGTAAAAAAATGTATTTGTTTTTACTTATTTATAAATTTCTTAACACTCGGTTCATCCGGCGGTAGGACCTGCCTTTTTCATTCATTAGAGCGGATGACTTGTTACAAGCAAATGAAATCGCTCGCACCTCGCACAATTATAATTTAAAATTTATGAAACGGATAAGACTTTTTTCATATTATCCGCTCCGAAAACGGGATATCCTTGTAATATGTCCGTAAATATTCCATTGTTTTCTAAATATTTTATGAACCATTTTCGTGTGAAAAGCATGTAACCTAACGTTGTTTTAAAGCGAAGTAATGTAACTAAAAAAGTTCACCAAAATTATCCTACAGTAAGGTAATTTTACAGACAAGTTATGTAGTTATTTACTCATGGCTTCATCTATAATATTATAAAGAGGAAAACTTTGTTTTTTTGATTGTAATGAATAGGCTTAAAAACTACTGGGCCGATTTAAAAAAAATCTTTCACCGTTAGACAGATAATTTATTTGTGAGTAATATGGGTTATGTTTTTGTAGTTTTTTATACCTTTTTTATTATTTTTAAATTTCACGCGGAAGGAGTTGGGCAAAAGCTAGTGTTAGATAAATAGGATTTAAAAAGTAATTCTTATTAAGTTGGCAAGTAGTTTAGGTGCAGCTATTATTGCTTGAAGGCGGGTCAATGAACAGGTATTCGATAGATCGATGGCATGTGTGACTCGCAGCTTATCTACCAACTTGTCTACTGACCCCATTTTTTATCGCCCGTGAAAGTATAACGAGACTTTTACCTCATGTCCTGACGCATTCGGGATTCATATAGCATATTCATATAGCTAGCAAATCATTTTCTAAATATATACTTACATTTTAAATGTTGTTTTATATGTTTATTTTTGAGAATAAAAAAATAATCTTGTTAATATTTTGGAGTGAAAGTTTTTTTTTAAAATATAAATGGTTTTTCGGAAACAAAGTCTTGGATAATATTAAGTTGTCAAATGCTCATTCATTTATCTATGATAGATGACAATTTTAGAGCTTTTTTTTAGAATGTTGGAATTTTATGTACAAGGAATTGAAAGAAATACATTTGAAAGTTGTAACGGACAATTAAATGAACATTTAATGCACGTTAATTCTACCAGCGAGATATAAATGTTATTTTGATATATAAATATCCATTCCAGTGAAAACGGCTACCGTCATGATATAGAGGATATCAGATGTTATAACAGTTTATTTATACAAGTAATTGAAATGTTTTGTTACATATTTATATTGTCTACAAACACTGCTCCATTCAACTTATAAAATCGATGAATTTTTAAAAGGTTTTTCGTTTGCTTTCCGAGAAAATGGCGGCAGTCGACAAGCAAATGGATTAGCCTCCATTGTTAAAACAATTACTTTATTCAAGGCCACGACGGCATTTGTAAGTCGTAGTTAAAACGTGTGGTGTCTCCTTTGTATGTTATTATGGGTATAGATTGTCGTGACACTTGCCCTGACTTCTTGTCTCTGTTTCATAGAGAATGTAAAGGATGACAATATGTGTATATCTGCCGTCGACACCCACTGTTACATCTACGAGTATATGTCTAAATAGATCATTTATATAAACTGTAGTTATGAATTTGAAATAAAATAAAACAGGAAATTCAATTGAGTTGTCTAACAAAAGCCTCAGAGAGCTAAAGTACGCACGCATGCCTTTTATAAAAAAGGTCTCGAATTAAATCTATTCCCGCTGGCATGCCGGGTATGTAAAAATAAATATTATAATGAGAATGAGTGAACGTAAATAACGTAATGTCGTGTACAATTTTCTAAACCTTGCTGAGGAAACACGTAAGTAATACTAAATCCAATAATCACACACATGAAAAACATAAGCAAATCATCGAAAATATGATAACTAAAACAAAATTAATTTATTTCGTTATACCGTAAATATGTGTCTGAAAAATATCGTTAACTAAAAGTGATAAACATCGAAAGTCGGTCAGTATAATTTAAGCATCAAATTATCAAACTTTCTTCAACTTTCACGGTCAAATGGCACTAACGTGTAATGATTTCGTGTAATGTCTACCGCGTGTAAATATTTTGACCACAAATAGTTATTGGAACTAATTCCTAAGTACTAGTACCTAAGTACTATATAAATGTGTTATGGGTCGCATGTCGCATGTCGTGTGTTATCGAATCGGAAATCCGGCTACGTGTGGTTATTTAGAGCGCGACTGGGTCGTGTATAAACGTGGATGGTCTGGGCCCATTGACAAAGGTCTCTGTATAGCGGCGTCCCATACGTATGCAGCGCGGGCGCAGGGCGACGCGCGGAGAGCGGCCGTGCTGTCACGCACTTTCACCGATTGTACGCACTGCGCTTCTCTCATGACATATATTTCCGACCCCGATGCTCGTGTGTTTTGTTTCTGTTTACCGTTGAGATGATAAATAATCTCAATTTACTATGTTTAATATGATAAAAATGCAAATTATATGTGAAAATCAATTAAATGATTCATATCCCGTAAAGTATGGTATTTGATGTGCAAAAAGCTAAAAAAGAGTGCTAGATGGTCAGACAAAATGACAATACGTAATCTTAGACCTCTGGAAAGAGCTTTACTATTTGAAGTACCTTTCATCCTTATTGTGTTTACGGTTTAGTTGGAAGTCCCAACTTCAAGTCATCTATAAGAAGCGGAAAAGTAGCTTTTACATTCTGCGATAGTGAAGAGTGTCCGGTTATCGTTTGGTATTTGTATAGCAGCTAGCACCTGGCAGTTGCGAGTTGCGACAGCTAGTCGTAGTCGTAGGTCGTTCCGGCGCAGCGCTGCGCAGGCGCAGGCGACAGCAAACCGGTCGCCGGGGAGCGGGGCACGGGTTGCTGGGGGGAGACTAGCTTCCACGCCGACGTATGCCTAGGTCCACCATATCGATTCATGTAAATAGGACTGTACTGTAGAAAATAATAATACATATACATGAATTCATAAAAATATTCTACCAGAAGTAGGTACGAAAGGGGTTTGTGGACAGCATCATAATCTTAAGAATGGGATATGTAAATGAGTACAAAACAATGTGTTATACATCGGTAGTATATTGGACGCCACTTGTTACCTTTTACCGTAATAGCACTGTCGGGATTTGAGTACAGAAACAGAATCTATATTTAATCATATTTCCATATCAATTATCATTGTCTTTTTAGGAAATACATAAAAAGCTTTAACTTTACATTTGTTGATAGTTTTTAAATCTGTAGTAAATGTCCAGAAATACTAGAGGTTCATGGTAAACACACAAGTAATATCCGACACCGTTGCCCTAGTGGTACGAGGATATACCGCTAGGCTAACTATCGCTCTTAAATCTATTGATGGAAATCATTATTTCTCGACAGTGTCATTTACGATTCGAGAAGCTTATTAACAATTAATATACTACTTTTCATTAATTACTAATTTCATGTTCCTATCACGTCCATCTTAAAGTCAGTTTGTCAAATTTTTCGTATAGGTATACTACAAAAGAAAACTGTTGTTAAATTAATTACTAGAACATTTCGATCGAAACACGACTTCCTAGCATCAGGTGTAACCACAACAGTCACTCTTGAGGCTAAAATAATAATGGGCGTAGTTCTTATGATATTTCTCTTGTGTTTCAGATCATCGGCATCCTGTGCATGGCGCTGGGCTCGCCGTGGGCATCCGCATGGTTCGTCTTCGTCGCCGTCACCTCCTTCATCACCACTCTCATGTGGAGTTTCGTCTACTTACTCAGCATCAGAGAAGCTTTAAAATTACCCATCAATTGGGTCTTATCTGTAAGTATTTATAAAGTAATTGCTTCTTCAGATCATGATTTTATACGTTTAGGTAACATTAAATAAATTATGTCTCAAATATGAATGAAGGCATGTTACTTCTTGTGATAATAAACAGCAAAAAGCCTCTCTGTCTTCTTTCTAATTCATTCAAAGAACTTAAATAAAAACAAACTACGTAATCCTATAATTGTTTCTTCTATGATATAGGTAGATCTCAATCATGTTTAAATAATAATTCGTCCAGTACCGGATATTTAGTGTGTCTGTCTGTGACATAGTCTGTGACACCTGAACGGACCGGAAGACTAAACTTGGAAACGGATGCACAAGTCTTATTATTAATTGTTACTTATTAATCAATGACCAGGCAAAAGTACATAATTCCGTTTTTTTTAATATCGTTATAAAGTCTATTGACGAAAGTGGGGCTCTGTCCTTATATTAAAATAAACACATCGTGTTGTGTTTATTAAATAAATGCCCAGGGGAGTCTGAACAATATTATAATTGTGTAGTTCCTAACGGAATAGGCACGGCCGTGCCACAGCGTAACATAAAAGTGTTTTATTTAGGCCAGTGATCTAATCATTACAATTTTTTCTATTTCTAGACAATAAATTATAAATTAATTGATTAAATGTAAAAATGGTATTGGTTTTCACTAAATTGTTTTATTTTTTTTAATTTCCAGGAATTGATCAGCACGAGTTTGGAGACGTTCTTTTATCTGATCGCATTTATAGTGATGTTTACGACGGTCACTGGACACTATGCGAGCAACGTTGCAGCCGCTGTAAGTATAAATATAGTATAAGTTACTGAGAATAATTTAACTAATGAAGGCTTCCAATTTACTTCAAATAACCACCAATTAATCAAATATCATAAGCGCTAAGATTTATGAGTCTTCGATCTTTAATTTTAAATTAAAACGTAGTAACATCTGGTCGATGACGTCAAGCTTTGAATCTCATTTTACTCGTACAAACTTTTCAAGTATTATTTGATGATTCACTCGTTATTAAATATTTTTTCATTATTTGAATTCTGAATAAGACAAACAATATATCTATATCTATACTCTATACTTTTATTATAAAGCGGAAACACACACTTCTTTCAGCATATTTTCCAGTAAGTCTTTTTTAATAAAAAGCCCTACACTTACGCCACGCTTTAGGCTATATATTTTTACGCCGTTAAACTTAGGGGTAAATATTTTGGATAAAAAAAACCTAACGTGGGAAAGAGACCATACGTTGTTGCCAACATCAAGGAAGCAAGGTTGCCATGGTTTGACATCATGTCAGTCATTTTGACATTTGCGATTGATAATTTGACAAATGTGAACAATAAGATGATTTTTTTATAATTTCATGCGGATGAAGTCGCATGGGAACAGCTAGTCTAAAGATAAAAGTTTCTTAAATAAATAATTCATCTGATACCCTCCCGCGCTTTCTTTGAGTTAACAAATACGTGTTACTTTCACTTGGTGCTGAGAGCTTGATAGCGGTCTGTATTAATATGTGTGTATGTATAGTTTGCCAAGTTTATCGTACAGAATGTTTTGAAAGTTTAAATAAATTCTGGATAATTTCTTCGATCCGATCAGTCTTCCAATCATCGGAAATCTTTTGTACATTATTTGTTATACAAAGAATTAATAATGAATCCTTCGTAACTTTTACATGAATCTTTTAGTCTTATTTTGTCGCGCTTTTATTTTATTTAGAGCTGATAAGAAGACTTTTATTAAGGACTTGTTAATTTTACAACAATTTTAAAAACCATTAGATATTACAGTTTACTTTTTGCGCCACGTTGATAAAATCTAGTATCGAACTGTTTACATAGTTATTTTTTAATTAATATAAAAATTCTTTAATTCTTTATAGTTGTGGCGTGTTTTATCCACAATGGCAATAATAATGTTTCACAGAGGACGTGGGAACTATTATTTTAAATAATTTAACTAAATCCAAAGTCACAATGGGATGTATTACTCAGTGTGCGCGTGAGAAAAGCCTATACTGTGTGGGTTATCACAATTGTGTAAAATCTTAAGAGGATAAAACTATAATGTTTTTACTAATGACTCAGTGGTAGTACTGGCGAGCCGGATATTCATATTGTTCTGCTTATTTCTCCGAAGGGCAAATTGTAGAGTTTAAAGAGAAACTTTTACAATTTATATTTCCTTAGTTCTAGTCTCATTTGATTATTGGTTTTCCTTTGAAGCGAGATTTGAAATATGAAAATATGTTCTCCAGTATTACACCCTGAACCTCATTGTTATTGATTTATTAGTTTTACTTTCAAAAATCTATGTTAGACATATAAACATTAAATTCTTTATACATTTTTTGTACTTAACTTACTTTTCCTTTTGGACTTCTAAGGAAGAAATCGTAGTATAAATAACGCGTATTAATTATATGTTATTTTCCAGGTATTCGGTATGTTCAACACGCTGGCGTATGCAGCAAGTTCATTTTTGCTGTTCAAGGAGCACAAAGCCAGCGTTGCGGCGGCTTCGTGAAATCTATTCTCCTGCGCAGGCGCATTATTTTGAACAATGTTTTGTTGTCTTTTCTTTCAATTCACTTCACTGAAACCTGTTAGGGTTTCTATTTGTACAGAAGTCATAGTAAAAATTTTGAAGGTTTAGATTCAAGATATATTCCATAGATACATTTTTCTCTTTGTACTGCATTTTTTAACATTAACTTAAATACTAGAAACACTTTTAAATTTATATAAAGGCACTATTTTAAATTATTATTTGGACTATAAGAGCTATGTATCAATAAATAAGGCCATAGATTTTGTACCTACTTTTGTTAAGGAAGTATAGAGTTTAATACGGTTTATCATTTTCTATTTATTATTTTTAATGTGTTCATTACGAATGTGTTGACATTATGACTTTGTTATAGCCTTTATTTAAAATTTGATTAATTTAATATGTGTATTTTTAAAAATATATGTTAAAAAATTGACTAAATATATAAAATTAATATGCACATATTTTCTATTCATAATGTATGACACGTTATTCGTGGTTGTTTTTGTAATACTTACATTTTAGCTTAGCTAGTCTTAATAAGGGTTCACAAAATAATATATTTTTTATTATATCTACTTTATAACGAAAATCAAAACCAATGTAATCGATCATGTACTGCGTTTGTGAGGGTTTTAAAACAATAATAGCAAATTCCACTTTCCCGAAGTATTTTAAAAATATAATTATCTCTGTTTTTTTATATGAGTGGGATAGAAATGTTTTTATATGTGCTTCGATAACAGAAATATACAGTTAGAAAGCCTATTTTATTGCTGTTTATTTATATATTTTAAGATTAGATCGGTTGAGGTACATACTCGTATCGTGTGTAGTATGCAGAATACCTAAACAGTACTGTGTAAGAAACTCGAACAAAATTATTTTAATTCACTCGATTACGTTTCAAAGATTTAAACATCGTTTTATTATGTACGTGTTAATATTTGATACCTAAGTTTGTAAGGACATTAAACGCCCAATAGTTAATTTAACTAATTTGTAAAAAGTAAATAAAGTTTATTTTAACATTCTAATGATATTTTTATTTGCGCCTGCCGTTACACGAAACACAAAAGTGTTTACGTCACTTTGCTATTAATTAAATTATTATTCGGTATGCTACATACTTCAAGCCTATTGTAATATGGAAAAAATGAGAAACGCCCTTTTTTGACCAACTTAACAAAAAGAAGGAGGTACTATCCTTTACTGCTTATAATTTGTGTTCAGAATGCAAACAAGTACCAGGTGCATTGTAAATCTATATTTCAGAACAGAAATAGGAATAAACACCGAATAACGAAGCGATGGTAAGGAAAATGTACTGGGATTTTAGTATTTGCTCCTAAAATAATAAATCTAACTAAATGTAGTCTTCGACTGCGCAAAATGTTTTAATAAAAGTGCCAAGGACTCTACAATTAGGAGAGTCTAACTCCTTAATTTTTACAGCTTATAAATGGGATTGAGCAAATGCTATGTCATGTTTTAAAAATACATCATACAATTAATTGGTTGGAAATATAGGATTGTATTTACATTACGTCATCTGTTAAATAACAGTTTAAAAAATTAAGACCATCACTATGGTTCACATTTTTAATGATATAACATACATGTCTAAATGTCTAGCAGCAAAATATAAACTCCAAATTCTATTAAAATTTTACGTCTGACAAATTGTAAGTGGGATTTACGACGGCAACGGCGCATTTGAAATTTGTTTCAGAATTCGGCTGTAAGGCTTCAGTAACCACGTTCAGACTCCAAAAATTCCTTCATAAGGTATGAACGAAGCTGCACCTTAGTTATAGCTTATAGTGTTATTTAAGAATGAGAAAGAAACTCCTAAATGATATTAAACATGAGCCAGGATTCGAATCCATGAGACAAAATCGACACCTTGAACTTAGTTGCGTTTTCTTTGGTCACCAAGAGATGTCGTTACAGTCGCGCTCAGAATGACATCATTCAGTTGCAAGTTCCGAGAATAACTTTTACAGGTAGACATGGAAACTCAACTAGACATGGGAACTTGATGACCTGCAGATCAGCTCATGGTTAACAAGGTTGAAGCAGATCAGTGACCCGTTTTGTAGATCAGCTCAATATGTACATGCATGGTGGTATTATCTGTGCGATTTGCGAGTCAGCAGCCAGTTCGTGACACGTTAGCTCCTACAGTTATAGTTTCTAATTGAGCATTGGCTCTAGTTGAGCCGCAGCTCAATGGTACAAGGCTATGTGAGCTGATCTTTTAAAACGGTTCCGAGTTGATTTACACATGTCTATTTATGAGCCTTGAATGAATGGACTGCCTTGACACATTTTATTAATTTTGCAGTTGTTTACAGAATTAAAAGTTTAATTCTTGGAATTTAATGAATAAGAGTAAAAATGTGGTTTTATTTATGTTGTCCAGTATGTTATTGTTCGTATGTTTAGAGTAGCTACCTACGCGCATGCGCGACCACATCTGACTCACCGTGGCAGTCAGTGCCAAAGTGTTGCAGTTGGTTTTACAACGTTCGCGTCGAAGCGTTGCTTTCCGTTCATTTTATAAACACGACGTTTGTTTTTGTGGACAAGTAAAATCGTAAGTATTAATAAAAATATGCATTTACTTGATTTTTGTCCAATTTTGCCCTTTTATCGTATTACATAGAGTCGATTGGGCAATTGATGAGGTAAATGGCCCTTTATTAACATTTCTTTACACGACCGGTGAGTTTGTACGGTTAATCTTTCAGTATTTTATATTACTCATGTCTACATAAACCAAACAATTAACATTAGTTAAATAGACATAAATGTGCCTGTAATATTGTTATGTTAATATTCGTAGTTTTTGACCGGACGGCTTAGTGGTTATGTTTTTTGAAATTTCGGCTAACGATCTAACATTTGGAGTTCGATTTAAGTGAGTTCTTGTTATAGTACCTACACACAAAAAAAATTACAAACTTCATAAGAAATGTTTGGCAACGGTGCAATCATGATAAAGGATTACTAATTGTTTACTAAATTTTCACTTTTAATTAGACGTAAATAAATCTTACTTCTTACTATCTTACTATGATTATAAATGCGAAAGTTTAGATGGATGGATGGATGGATAGATGTTTGTTAGAGTTTGTAGCCTAAACCGCTGAACGGATCTCGATGAAATTTGGCATAGATGTAGAGTACAGTCTGAAAGAATACATAGGCTACTTAGTTTTTTTTTTAATTCCACGCGGACGAAGTCGCGGGCAAAAGCTAAGCATTTATATATGGTACCTTACTTAAACGGACTCTACTTCCTATGTAATGCATTTCAGTATTAATAACTCGTAAATCATAAGAGGTAAATGCACCATTTATTACACTGAGGATCATGGAACAATTAATGAATCCATGATCCTCAGTGTAATAAATGAGTGATGGTTCGATATAGTTCATGGTATTATGTATGTGTGTTTGCGTATGAGGGCGTCTGAGCGTCGACCTCGCCAGCCAGACGATCGCGACCGCCTGGCGACAAAACATGTCGACCTACGAGATTCATACCTTTTTTGGAGAAAAGATCTCCTCGTTCTACTGTACTTAATTTTACCCTTGAATTACTTTAACTTTTACATGAATAATAAAATGCAATTAAACGTTTTGAAACAGGAAAACGATGTAATAGCGATTCGTAAATGCTAAATTTGAATTTCGCGAAATCTCGCAAAAATCGCGAACGGCAATAAACAATTATTCTGTTTAATAATGTAATTAAACGTATGTTTTTTCGGATTCCAGCATTGAAGCAGAATGTCTCACACGGTGACGATCACCCGGACAACGACGACGAGCACCGGACATGCCATCTTCGTTAACAACGGCTACCTGGGAACGTTACCCGGACTGCTCAAACTGGCACAACTAGTATGTTTGAAAGATTCTACTACTACTAGTGATTAGATGATTATTAGCAAGACGTAGAGATAAAAAAATAGCGCTTTTTATTTTTGACAACAAGCAGCGCCATCTAGCAGATTTAATTAGAATTGGTTTAAATAATGTTCTTATAAACTAGTACACAAAATCCTTCAAACTTTTTCGGAGTGCAGACAGTTCACAAACTTAAAGTCTTCAAAATTATTTGAATTGTATGTCATTGATATCTGAGAGGAAGGAAACGAGTCACGTAAGCGTTAAATTTAAACACGCATATTTTCTCATTACTAAGTTACAAACGTAAGTATTGTTTTAATAAATTTGGTAGATGTAAAAAAAAACATGTACAAACGTAAGTATTGTTTTAATAAATTTGGTAGATGTAAAAAAAAACATGTTTTTTAGTGGTAGTGGTTTTTTCGGGATAAATATCCAGGTAACTACACTTACATAGCCAAATTAATATTTTCTTATATTGTTACATTTGTGGTGTAATGCTGAGACTCGTTGTTATGACATTTGTTCGGGTTCAAATCACTCAACGATAAACCTTTATCAATTTAACAAAAAAGAAAACGAATAGGGCTAGAGTATACTTCATTTTTATACAACCTTAAACTGTTTTATTCTCATTTGCTCACATAGTTATGTTTTATATTCGAGGCTAAAGCGAGGTTAGCACCGCTTTCCTGTTTCATGAAAACACGAGGCGATGTAAATATCTGAGCGTACGTAAATCGGTCAGGGTAAACGTTTTATGTTCTGGACACTTCAGAACACCAGCTTCGATATTCCTGTATAATTAAATTGATAGACATAACCCATAAATACTTAATGGTTGGGGCAATGTTTTTCAGTTAATTGTTACCAAAAGCTTTTGGTTACGTTAACCACTAATTAAGTTATAACTAAGAAGGACATTGCAGTCAATATACGAGTAGTTTCTTGATTACTCAAGTTTTTGATTAAGTTAACAGTAAACATTTCTTAAATAAGTTGTTAGTAAAATGGCCAGAACGTAGTTAAAATTTTAACGAAGCGTAAATTAATTTGAAGTGAGACGTTCGTCTTGGGCACTCGGTCGATCCGGCGATCGTGAGTTCGTCCGCTCGGGCGTGGCGTCATCTCTGACTCAATATTTATTTTGAGTCAGCGATAACAGAGCTTAATTTAAACGCAACACTAACAAAATATTATCTAAAAGTATTTATTAAAATAATAAGACATGAGTACTTAACCTCTATTCGGTTTTAGTTATCAATAATACGGAAGGTGACAATTTATCAATAAGTTCTTAATATTAACTTATTCTTAATATTCTTAATTTCGTTTAACAATCACAGTTTTTGTTAGCCAAGTTCATATAATTAAACTAACATATAAAACATTAGTACACTCCACCACGATCTCTGCAGGCATTTTCCTTAAAATTGCATGACATTTGTAGTAATGATGATTTAAATTCAAGGCAATTCAATGGAACCTTTTTACCTACAAATATTAACAGAAATGAGTTGACAACCATAAAAAAAAATAATAACACAACAAAATTATTAACTAACGATATTGCCTGTATGCGTATGTATCGAAAAATTTATCATTTTTATACTTATTTCAAATTTTAGCCTACCCAGTAATCCATGGAAGAGATTTAAATTATTTTGTATTTTTATCGCACAATGCAATAATTGCCTGAAATTCGAGGTTACGGCGTATTTTCTATTTCAGAAAGTCGTATCGCGATACTATGATTTCACAGTCTTGGGCTATTTTAGAAGTATACAAATTTAATAGGCGTGTGTTCGATATGTTTACAAGATTGTGTGAAGTGTACATTTTTTGTGTTAAATATTACTTGCTTACAGTCCTCCGAAGGCCTTTCGTTGGGATAAATTCCCTAAATGTGATTTACAACGACAAAATGACATTTCGGAATCGAGTTTTGATAAAAATTCCATATGAAACAATCCATCTATCTTATCTTACTAATATTATATATGCGTTTAGCTGGATGGATGTATAGACTTTTGTTACTGCGTATCTCCAGAGCAGCCCAATAGATTTTTCTGAAATTTAGCATATACGTAAGACATAGTCTGAAAGACACAGACTACTAATTAATTCGGCGCCGATAGAGTTGTGGATGACAGCCAGTAGGTTATAAACTTGTGATTATCTTGTTTACAGTTGCTGGGAGCGGCGTGTGTCGGCG